CCCAGCTACTCAGGAGGCTGAGGCAGGAGAATTGCCTGAACTCAGCCTCCTGAGTAGCTGGGATTACAGGCACGCGCCACCATGCCCAGCTGATTTTTTGTATTTTTAGTAGAGACGGGGTTTCACTATGTTGACCAGGATGGTCTCGATCTCTTGACCTCGTGATCCACCCGCCTCGGCCTCCCAAAGTGCTGGGATTACAGGCGTGAGCCACCGCGCCCGGCTACCACTTCTATTTTCATCATACATCTTACATTTTAATGTTCTTATTGTTTTTCTTTTTTTACTATTGAGATGGAATCTTGCCCGTTTGCCCAGGCAGGAGGGTACACAGAAATAGTGTGCTTTTTTGTTTTAAGATGAAGTCTTGCTCTGTAGTTCAGGCTAGAGTACAGTGGCATGATCTTAGCTCACTTCAACTTCCACCTTTTGTGTTCAAGTGATTCTCCTGCCTCAGCCTCCTGAGCAGCTGGGATTACAGGTGCATGCCACAGCGCCCAGCTTGTTTTTTTCATCTTTAGTATAGACGAGGTTTCACTATTTTGGCCAGGCTGTTCTCAAACTCCTGACCTCATGATCCCCCCACCTCGGCCTCCCAAAGTTTGGGATTACAGGCATGAGATACTGCTTCTATTCTAATGTTCTAATTCTTTAATTGAAAAGGTCATAAATAATGCCCCCCTAATTAAAAAAAATTCATATCTTTGATGTTGCAACAATTGATCACATGCTTTCACATGTGAATAGAATAGCAATAAAGAAGAAAGAGAATGAAATAATTTGAGAGTTGAATTACATCATTCTTTGGCTTTCAAAAAACAAGTTTTTTTAAAGAAAAAAACTTTGTGGGCCGGGCGCGGTGGCTCAAGCCTGTAATCCCAGCACTTTGGGAGGCCGAGGCGGGTGGATCACGAGGTCAAGAGATCGAGACCATCCTGGTCAACATGGTGAAACCCCGTCTCTACTAAAGCTACAAAAAAAATTAGCTGGGCATGGTGGTGCGTGCCTGTAATCCCAGCTACTCAGGAGGCTGAGGCAGGAGAATTGCCTGAACCCAGGAGGCAGAAGTTGCGGTGAGCCGAGATCGTGCCATTGCACTCCAGCCTGGGTAACATGAGTGAAACTCCGTCTCAAAAAAATAAAAAAAATAAAAAATAAAATAAAAAAACTTTGTAATTAAAATTCTGCAAAAAATGTTCTACTTCTTTTAAAGTTATATACAAATAATTATCCACCAAATTTAGTTTGGGATTATTTTCTGTACTCAGCACTGTAATTTAGTGTAGTGTCTGAAGCGCCACCATTGTAGGTATTTCTACTGCGAATCCTCGATATTTACATAGACTTAACTTTAGATTAAATATATTTTTATATCTACTGCATCTGCAAAATATATTTGAGTATGAATCCTCTGCTGCTTTGTTAGCTCTAGTTTTTGAAAATGTTTTTCAAAATTTGTTACATGTGCAGGGTTTTACTCATATATAAATCCTCTGATGTTAAACAAAGTTTAAGCAGCTGCTTTAGGGTCTTCCTCTAGCACAAAATGTGTACAAGATTTGTGATACAAATAAAAGTACTACAATTTTTACATTTGTAATGTTTTTCTTCAAAATGATTACTCTTTTTCACATTAAAGGCTTATTTTTTCTGAATGCTCTTTTCACAGTAATTGCATTTATCATGCTTTTATTTATTTATTTATTTTATTATTATTATTTTTTTTAAGATGAGGCTTCACCATGATGGCCAGGCTGGTCTTGAACTCCTGACCTCAGGTGATCCACCCACCTTGGCCTCCCAAAGTGCTAGGATTACAGGCGTGAGCCACCGCGCCTGGCCCATGCTTTTATTAAGTACTACCTTTCTAATGCTGAGTAAGATGTGAGCAGATATTAATGGCTTTTCCACATTCTTTATATTTGTATATTTCTTTAGTATAAATGATTTTCTGTGCAGTAAGATGTGAGCATACGTTTCGCCACATTGTTCATACTTGTAGTTTGTTCCAGTATGAATTATCTTACCTACAGTCAAGTGTGACAGCCATTTAAAGACTCTGTCACATTGTTCACCACATTTCCAGGATTTCTGACCAATATGATCACTTTTATGCTTACAAGTATGTGGTATTGTCAAAATTATTGTTACATCTTTCAAGTTATTAGTTTCTCTCCAGTATAAATTTTCTTTTTTTTTTTTTTTGAGACAGAGTATTGCTCATTACCCAGGCTGGAGTGCAATGGCACGATCTCGGCTCACTGCAACCTCCGCCTCCTGGGTTCAAGCAATTCTCCTGCCTCTGCCTCCCGCACAACTGGGACTACAGGCGTGCGCCACCATGCCCAGCTCATTTTTTTTGTATTTTTAGTAGAGATGGGGTTTCACCATGTTGAGCAGGATGGTCTCAATCTCTTGACCTCGTGATCCACCCGCCTTGGCCTCCCAAAGTGCTGGGATTATAGGCGTGAGCCACCTCGTCTGGCCTAAATTTTCTTATGTTTAGTAACATTTTTGAATTGGTTAAAGGCTTTGCCACATTCTTCGCATTTGTAAGGTTTCTCTTCGTATGCATTTTCTTATGTCTAGAAAGATTTGATGAATGGTAAAGGCTATGTCATATTCTTCACATTCATAGGGTTTTTCTCCAGTATGAATTTTCTTATGTTCAGTAACACTTGAAAATTGGTTAAAAGCTTTGCCACATTCTTTACATTTGTAGGGTTTCTCTCAAGTATGAATTATCTTATGGCTAGCAAGGGTTGAAGATCAGTTAAAAATTTTGCCACATTCCTCATATTCATAGGGTTTCTCCCCTGTATGAATTTTCTTATGTTTAATAAGGTTTGAAGACTGGTTCACATTTGTAAGGTTTCTCTTCAGTATGAATTTTCTTATGGGCAGTAAGGTTGGAGGACCATTTAAAGCCTTTGCCACATTCTTCACATTTGTAAGGTCTCTCTCCAGTATGAATTGTCTTATGAGTAGTAAGGGTTGAGGACCGGTTAAAGGCTTTGCCACATTCTTCACATTTATAAGGTTTCTCACCAGTATGAATTTTCTTATGACTAGCAAGGCCTGAGTACAGGTTAAAGGCTTTCCCACATTCTTCACATTTGTAAGCTTTCTCTCCAATATGAATTTTCTTATGAGTAGTAAGGGTTGAGGAGTGCTTAAAGGCTTTGCCACATTCTTCACATTTATAAGGTTTCTCTCCAGTATGTATTTTCTTATGAGTACAAAGTGTGGAGGACTGGGTAAAGGCTTTGCCACATTCTTCACATTTGTAGGCTTTCTCTCCAGTGTGTATTTTCTTATGAGTAGCAAGTGTTGAGGATTGGTTAAAGGCCTTGCCACATTCTTCACATTTGTAAGCTTTCTCTCCAGTATGAATTTTTTTATGAACAGTAAGGTGTCTGGACTGGTTAAAGGCTTTGCCACATTCTTCACATTTGTAAGCTTTCTCTCCGGTATGAATTTTCTTATGAGTAGTAAGTGTTGAGGACCGGGTAAAGGCTTTGCCACATTCTTCACATTTGTAAAATTTCTCTTCAGTATGAATTTCCTTATGTTCAGTAAGTTTTGAGGATCGGATAAAAGCTTTGCCACATTCCTCACATTTGTAGGGTTTCTTTCCAGTGTGAATTTTCTTATGAGCAATAAGGTTGGAGGACCATTTAAAATCTTTGCCACATTCTTCACATTTGTAGGGTTTCTCTCCAGTATGAATTTTCTTATGGGTATTAAGGCTGGAGGACCATTTAAAACATTTGCCACATTCTTTACATTTGTGGGCTTTCTCTTGCATATGAATTTTCTTATGTTTAATAAGGTGTGAGGACTGCTTAAAGGCTTTGCCACATTCTTGACATTTGTAAGGTTTCTCTCCAGTATGAATTTTCTTGTGATTAGTAAGGTTTATGGAATGGATAAAGGCTTTGCCACACTCTTCACATTCATAGGGTTTCTCTCCAGTATGAATTTTCTTATGGGTAATAAGGTTGGAGGACCACTTAAAACCTTTGCCACATTCTTCACATTTGTAACATTTTTCTTCAGAATGAATTTTCCTATGTTTAGAAAGGTTGGAGGACCATTTAAAACCTTTGCCACATTCTTCACATTTGTAGGGCTTCTCTCCAGTATGAATTTTCTTATGTTGAGTCAGTCTTGAGGACCGGTTAAAAGCTTTGCCACATTCTTCACATTTGTAGGGTTTTCCTCCCGTGTGAATTCTCTTATGTTGAGTAAGGGTTGAGGGCAAGTTAAAGGCTTTTCCACATTCTTCACATTTGTAGAAATTTACTCTAGTATGAATTCTGCTATGTCGAGTTAGGTATGAATTCATGCAAAATGATTTGCCACATTCTCTACATTTGAAAGGTTTCTTTTTAGTATGTCTTATCTTACGTCTGTTTGAATTTGAAAACTTATGAAAGACTTTCACATATTTATCACATTGAAATACTCTGCTCTGGGTAGTTCTCAAACATTGGTTGAGTCCATTATCAACTCCTTTTTGCACCTTACACTCACACACACTTTTATAGCCTTTTGTTAATGGTAAATTCTCACGTCTACATTTTCCGTATCTTTCCAGTGTCACTTTTTGGAAAGAATCTTTTACATTCTTCCCTGGCCAAAGGTGTTGGGCAAAATGAGAACGCATAACTGAAAACAAATAAAAATAACAAATTATTATACTTGTGAGACTTAGATAAAGAGACTTTACAAATATAACCTATACAATTAAGCAAACTACATCAGTTAGATGACATAGCAAAATTCCACAGGCCTGAAGTCCTTCATACACACATAAATGTTACAAATCATACTGACTAAAATACATCTCTGGAAATTTTTTAAATGAATTAAGTGTGTAACATTCTCTGGGTGAGCACAATGCAAGGAGCCACTTAGAAAACAAAACAAAACAAAACAAAACAGAAGTTTGTTATATTTACTCAGTGCAGCTCTTTCTGCTGCCTATATGTACCACAGTGCCTTTAGAAGTAAATTACCAGGCTGGGCACGGTGGCTCATGCCTAGAATCCCAGCACTTTGGGAGGCCGAGGCAGGTGGATCATGTCAGTTGTTTGAGACTAGCCTGGCTACCATGGTGAAACCTAATCTCCACTAGAAAGACAAAATTTAGCCCGGCATGGTGGTGTGCACCTGTAATCCCAGCTAGTTGGGAGGCTGAGATAAGAGAATTGCTTCAACCCAGGAGGCGGAGGTTGCAGTGAGCCGATATTGGGCCACTGCACTTCAGCCTGGGTGACAGAGCATCTTTTGCATAACAACGTGAGTGATATATGGAGCTTATTTTTTGAGACAGGGTCTCACTATGTCACCCAAGCTGGAGTGCAGTGGCACAATTACTGTTGACTGTAGCCTGAAATTCCCAGGCTCCAGTAATCCTCTTTCTTCAAACTCCCAAAGAGCTAGGTCCACAGGTTTACAGCAAAATGCCAGGCTATTTTAAAGAAATTTCTGTAGAGAAGGAATCTCCATTGCCCAGACTGCTCTGAAACTTTTTGGATCAAGTGATCCTCCTGTCGTGGCTTCCCAAAATCTCTGAAATTACAGATTTCAGAGAGCCAGAACCATGCCTGACCCTGAAATGTACACTTCAATAGATTTAAGATGGCAAATACTATATTATGTGCTTTGGAAACAAATTTTTAAAAGAAAAAAACTGAAAACAATACAGAATTATAAATCTATTCAGAGCCGGGCATGGTGGCTCACGCCTGTAATCCCAGCACTTTGGGAGGCTGAGGCGGGTGGATCACGAGGTCAAGAGATCGAGACCATCCTGGTCAACATGCTGAAACCCCGTCTCTACTAAAAATACAAAAAATTAGCTGGGCATGGTGGCGCGTGCCTGTAGTCCCGGCTGAGGCAGGAGAACTGCCTGAACCCAGGAGGCGGAGGTTGCGGTGAGCCAAGATCGTGCCATTGCACTCCAGCCTGGGTAACAAGAGCGAAACTCCGTCTCAAAAAATAAATAAATAAATAAATCTATTCAGAAATTACCTTCAAATCACAAAAGTGTTTTTTTCACACAAAGCAAATGTATATTCATCATTAAACACATGGTGAAAAGGCTATTTTCATAACGACTTACTTAAAGAAGATGAAACAACCATTGAAAATCAGCTAAAAGGTTGGACACAGTGGTTCACACCTGTTAAACCAGCACTTTCAGAGGCCAAGGTGCGTGGATTATCTGAGGTCCCAAGTTCATGACCAGTGTGATCAACATGGAAAAACCCCATCTCTACTAAAAATACAAGATGGGCTGAGTGTGGTGGTGCATGCCTGTAATCCAAGCTACTTGGGAGGCTGAGGCAGGAGAATCACTTGAACGCCAGAGGCAGAAATTGCAATGAGCCGAGATCACGCCATTGCACTTCATACTTGGCAAAAAGAGCCAAACTCCATCAGAAAAATAAAGAAAGAAGCCGGGTGCGGTGGCTCAAGCCTGTAATCCCAGCACTTTGGGAGGCTGAGGCGGGTGGATCATGAGGTCAAGAGATCCTGGTCAACATGGTGAAACCCCGTCTCTACCAAAAATACAAAAAATTAGCTGGGCATGGTGGCGCGTGCCTGTAATCCCAGCTACTCAGGAGGTTGAGGCAGGAGAATTGCCTGAACCCAGGAGGCGGAGGTTGCGGTGAGCTGAGATTGCGCCATTGCACTCCAGCCTGGGTAACAGGAGTGAAACTCCGTCTCAAAAAAAAAAAAAAAAGAAAGAAAGAAGAAAGAGAGAGAGAGAAAGAAAGAAAGAAAAAGAAAGAGAGAGAGAGAGAGAGAGAAAAAGAAAGAAAGAAAGAAAGAAAAAGAAAGAAAGAAAGAAAGAAAGAAAGAAAGAAAGAAAGAAAGAAAACAAACTAACTCAGCTAAGAAAGAGTATAAGGCCGGGCAAGGTGGCTAACACCTGTAATTCCAGCACTTTAGACTCAAGGTGGGTGGATCACCAAGTCAAGTGTCCAAGACCAGCCTGGCCAACATAGTGAAACACCGTCTCTAGTAAAAATAACAAAAATTAGCCGGGCGTGGTGGCACATGTCTGCAGTCCCAGTTACTGGGCAGGTTGAGGCAGGAGAATTGCTTGAACTCAGGAGACGGAGGTTGCAGTGAGCCGAGGTCACGCCACTGCACTCCAGGTTGGGCAACAGAGCAAGACTCAATCACAAAAATAAATAAATAGTAATAAAGAAAAAAGAATATAGACGAGACAAGCTGTAACCAAAATTGGGGTCATATTTATAGATAAGCACCGACACATATGTAAACAGATTGTTATAGACATGCAGGCTAGTTTATACATTAATTAAGCCTTACATTGACTTAAGTCAAAGAGAATTGCAAATTGTCTAAAAGTATAGTATGTTGGTAAAACCAAAAAACATAACAAACTGATGTGAAGTAACCTATATTAACTGGGCGTGGTAGCTCATGCCTGTAATCCCAGCACTTTGGGAAGTCAAGACGGGTGGATCACAAATTCAGGAGTTGGAGACCAGCCTGTCAAATACGGTGAAACCCCATTTCGACTAAAAATACAAAAATTAGCCAGGAGTGGTGGTGCATGTCTGTGGTCCCAGCTACTCAGGAGGCTGAGGCAGAAGAAAAATTTGAACCTGGGAGCAGAGGTTGTGGTGAGCCAAGATCCGGCCTGGGTGACAGAGCAAGACTGTATCAAAAAAAAAAAAAAAAAAAGGAATCTCCACACTAATATGGAACTGTAAGATAGTAATAAGTGAAATATTTACCCATAAATTCTGGTTTGAAGTATTCATGTACCATTGAGAAAGAACGCCGGGCGCGGTGGCTCACGCCTGTAATCCCAGCACTTTGGGAGGCCGAGGCGGGTGGATCACAAGGTCAAGAGATCGAGACCATCCTGATCAACATGGTGAAACCCCGCCTCTACTAAAACTACAAAACATTAGCTGGGCATGGTGGTGCGTGCCTGTAATCCCAGCTACTCAGGAGGCTGAGGCAGAATTGCCTGAACCCAGGAGGCGGAGGTTGCGGTGAGCCGAGATCGCGCCATTGCACTCCAGCCTGGGTAACAAGAGTGAAAGTCTGTCTCAAAAAAGAAAAATAAATAAAATAAAATAAAATAAAAAATAAAATAAAAAAATAAAGAAAGAACGTGTCTAGATAAAAATATTTGACTGTGTACTCATGGAATCATTGGCTGTCAAAGTATGGCAGTAAAATTTCAGAGAAAATGCAGTATAAGCAGAAATAGAATACTGTAATAAGAAATATTTTATAGTCACTTAAAATAAACCAGAGATAAATTTTGCTTTAAATATATGCTATTCTTACACAAAATGAAACTGCCACCATCCAACTTTAGAAGCAAATAGCCTTACATTGATAAATAAAACACACACACACACACACACAGACATAGAACAAAATGGTTAGAGCCTCTGATATATAAAACATATATTTGGAAATAAATTGTTATTAGTTAGATACAGGCTGAAGAAAGTGGGTAAAAATCCTACAATTCCTTTTTGCCTGCAGCAAAATTAAATTTATAACTATTTTAGTAAATATGGAGTGCCTACTAATTATCTAATTTACTTCAGGCATAACATGTAAATTCTAGCATATTGTCCAAAATATCTATTTCAAAAATTACAGACAAGTTTGAAATGAAAAATAGAAAGTAAAAATGTACAGGAGTAACATCGGCAAGACAAAAAAATAAAAGGTACCCTACTTTCTTATGCCCCAACAGCAAGAAAATTTGTCAACTGTCCCTGACAAAAATGCCTTTATGAGAGAACTAGGCACCATGGCTCACCCATGTAATGACAGCTACATGGCACACTGAGGCTGAAGAATTGCTTCAGGCTAGGATTTCAAGACCAGACTAGGCCGAATGTCATGGCTCATGCCTGTAATTCCAGCCCTCTAGAGGGTTGAGGTAGGCAGATCACTGAAGGTCAGAAGGTCCAGAACAGCTTATCTAACATGGCAAAATCATGTCTCTACTAAAAATCTAAAAATTAGCCATGTGTGGTGGTGTGTGCCTGTAATTCTGGCTACTTCAGAAGCGGACCACAATAATCACTTGAACCCAGGAGAAGATGGCAGTAAGTCAAGATCACATGACTACACTAAAGCCTGTGTGAGAGAGACTCTGTGTTAAAAAAAAAAAAAAAAAACAAGACTAGCCTGGGCTCTGTAGCAAGACCCCCTCTCTAAAATAAATACCTTTAAGAGGGCCGGCCGAGCACGGTGGCTCAAGCCTGTAATCCCAGCACTTTGGGAGGCCGAGGCGGGTGGATCACGAGGTCAAGAGATCGAGGCCATCCTGGTCAACATGGTGAAACCCCGTCTCTACTAAAAATACAAAAAACATTAGCTGGGCATGGTGGCGCGTGCCTGTAATCCCAGCTACTCAGGAGGCTGAGGCAGGAGAATTGCCTGCACCCAGGAGGTGGAGGTTGCGGTGAGCCGAGATCGCGCCATTGCACTCCAGCCTGGGTAACAAGAGCAAAACTCCGTCTCAAAAAAAAAAAAAAAAAAGAGGGCTTTGAGATCCACAGAGAGATTTGTAAAACTGCTAAAGCTCAGGACTGAGGAGTGTCCTTTTCAGATGTCAGGCCCTTGTTCAGATGGCAAAGTACAGGTACTCTGTTCTTGACTAAAGACCAAAGAAATGGCCTGCCCAACTTGGTCCCACAGAGAATTCGGAACTTATTTTGTGATCATCCGAAACTGCTCCTAGTCACATTCTGAAAGAGGCCCTGCCCTTCCAGAGGCCTAGAGGAAGACACCCATTTACAGACACGCAGGCAGGCCTGCAGGCCTTGGCCTTTACTGTGGTCCTCGAAGCAGTATAATGACTCGGTTCCAGCTCTCGGAGCCACAGTTCATGACCAGTTCCGCCTACACAGAAACCCATGCAGTGACATGGGAAAATGCTCTCTGGTACTCAGTGAAAGCCATACTCATCCACATCCTGCTATAAGCCCTGCCATTAGCAGACCCGACTGCATAAACCTGCCTTGGTGTCTGCTCTACATATAGAAGTCCTGAAGGATATTCAGTCTGTCCAAAAATATAAAAATTGTGTACTTACAACTACACAAGACTCTTATAACCAACCAAGGAAAGGTGGACCCTAGTGCAGACCCAGCAGCCTTGTGACCAAGCTACGGTTCCTCTCCATGGCAAACCCAGAGGGCATCCCATCACCCTGGGGGCCCAGAAAAAGATCTTTACCTTCTGAAACCATTCCTAAAAACTTGAAGAAGTGTTGGCTCATTCAAATTCAAACACACCAATACCAAACATTATTGTGCCCGTTGTTAATGATTCTATTTTAATATAGCACTGAAAATATGTGGCAGAAGAATTCATAAAAAAAAAATTTGTTAAAGCCATTGCAATTGAAGACAAAGAAGCAAAAGTTGCTAGTTATAGATCATATAATCTTACATATAGAGGCCGGGCACGGTGGCTCAAGCCTGTAATCCCAGCACTTTGGGAGGCCGAGGCGGGTGGATCACGAGGTCAAGAGATCGAGACCATCCTGGTCAACATGGTGAAACCCCGTCTCTACTAAAAATACAAAAAATTAGCTGGGCATGGTGGTGCGTGCCTGTAATCCCAACTACTCAGGAGGCTGAGGCAGGAGAATTGCCTGAACCCAGGAGGCGGAGGTTGTGGTGAGCCGAGATCACGCCATTGCACTCCAGCCTGGGTAACATGAGTGAAACTCCGTCTCGGGGGGAAAAAAAAAAAAAAAAAAAAATCTTACATATAGAAAACCATGTTCATACATTAAACCCTGTCTAAACTAATAAATACACTCAGTAAATTAGCAAAATATAAAATTAACACACAACTCTAAATTGTGGACCCATACATGTAAAACAAACTATCTGATAAAATAAAGAAAACAATCTTATTTAAAATAGCATCAAAATAATAAATTTTGAGAACAAATTTAACCAAAGACGTAAAATATCTTTACACTGAAAAATATAAGATACAATTGAGAGAAACTAGAGAAGACACAAATACATTTTAAAATATATTATGTCTTTTGATTAAAAGAATAAATATTGTTAAAGTGACATGTTATATAAATTAACCTATAGATTCAATAAACTTCCTATGAAAATTCTAGTGGCAGCCAGGTGCAGTGGCTCACACATGTAATCCCAACACTTTGGGAGGCCAAAGCAAAGGGATTACCTGAGGTCAGGAGTTCATGAGCAGACTGACCAACATGGAGAAACCCCATTAAAAAAAAAAGTATGTATAATAAAAATACAAAATTAGCCAGATGTGCTGGCACATGCCTGTAATCCCAGCTACTCAGGAGGCTGAGGCAGGAGAATTGCCTGAACCCAGGAGGCGGAGGTTGCGGTGAGCCGAGATCGCGCCATTGCACTCCAGCCTGGGTAACAAGAGTGAAACTCCGCCTCAAAAAAACAAACAAACAAAAAAAACAAAAAAACAAAAACAAAAAAATTAATTAATTAAAAAAAAAAAAGAACAAAAATCTCGTCAATGGAATAGAAACCACTACTCACACATTTCAAACATGATGCAAATCTAGAATTAAAAAAATTGTTTAACATAGTGTTCCCCAGAATAATGCAGGTATTTGTGTGTTGCCCAAAACTATGAAAAGGCAGTCAGACCGTGCAGTCTCTCATAGGCCATGAAGAGGACTTTGGCTCTAACTGTAAACTTGAAGATCACCGAAGGAAAAGCAGAATCCTCAGAGCATTTAAAAGCATAAGACAGAAGATGCTGCAATGTGAGTGCAAACAAACAAACAAATTCAGGCTTCCCAGAAACTATTTTCTTTGAAACACAGCTTCCCAAATCAGTTTTTTTTTTAGACGGAGTTTTTTGCTCTTGTTGTTCAGGCCGGAGTGCAATGGCACTATCTAAGCTCATCACAACCTCTGTTTCCCGGGTTCATGCAATTCTCCTGCCTCAGCCTCCTGAGTAGCTGAATTTACAAGCATGTGCAACCACGCCTGGCTACGTTTGTATTTGTAGGAGGGACGGGGTTACTCCATGTTGGTCAGGCTGATCTCAAACTCCTGACCTAACGTGGTTTGCCGTCCTCGGCCTCTCAAAGTAAAGGGATTACAATTGTGAGCAGTCCAAAAATACAAAAATTATGTAGTTACAACTATACAAGCCTCTTATAACCAACCAAGGAAAGATGGACCCTAGTGAAGAGCCTGTAGCCTTCTAACTAAGCTACAACTTGGGGGTCATGCCTGGCCCCAAAATAACATTTTAAGGAAAGACTTTCTCTTTGACCTTCATCTATGTTGTCTGTGGTATTCATTTTCACTCTCACCTACCTGGGGGCTTGGCCACCATGATCTCTTGGCTCTTCCTACTCCAGACCTCTTTTTCTTGCTCCAAACAAATGATCAGGTCTGGCTTACAGACAGCAATACCTGTTTCATTAAAAATAAATAACATAAATCCTGCTCATCTTCTCCAATGACCAACTCAATAATGTGCTCGGCTACTAAATCAGACCCAATATACTAGTTTATAACAGACTTTTCCAAATATCTACAAAATACTTTTGATTTGTAGGTTCTTAATTTTACCACCCAGGACTATTGAAACAAAACTTGGTGTGTCAATTAGATTTTAAAGTGTGGGCAAAAATACTTTATGCCACTAAATTTGTGGAATTATCACTAATCTAGACTGAAGGATTTAGATCGGCTCAGAAATGTGGACAGTTAAGGTCAAAATGAAACATCTTGGAGAAATTCCCTTCTACATGGATTAATATCTAAGAATTTCTTGAAAACAGGGATCTGAAACTAATTTATGCAAAGCATACTTTACCAAAAAGTATTCCAGAAAGGAAAGAAATAAAATCTTTAGAATATATTAAGAATTGTGTATTGAAGTTTTCCTCACCCAGGAAGACCAGGTTTCTGTAGTTCTCTAACATCACATTTCTATATAAATTCCGCTGTGCAGTGTCCAGGCATTGCCACTCCTCCAGAGAGAATTCTATGGCCACATCCCTGAATGTCAGTGGTCCCTGAAAAATACACACACACACACACACACACACACACAATTACTAAGTGGTCATAGAAAGCATTTTTAATTTGAGTCAAGGTGAAATGAGAGAGTAAAGAGAATTGTTTCTGACTTTTTTTTTTTTTTTTTTTTTTTGAGACAGAGTTTCGCTCTTGTTACCCAGGCTGGAGTGCAATGGCGCGATCTCAGCTCACCGCAACCTCCGCCTCCTGGGTTCAGGCAATTCTCCTGCCTCAGCCTCCCGAGTAGCTAGGATTATAGGCACGCACCACCATGCCCAGCTAATTTTTTGTATTTTTAGTAGAGACGGGGTTTCACCATGTTGACCAGGATGGTCTCGATCTCTTGACCTTGTGATCCACCCGCCTCGGCCTCCCAAAGTGCTGGGATTACAGGCGTGAGCCACCGCGCCCAGCCTTTTTTTTTTTTTTTTAAGACGGGGTTTCACCATGTTGGTTAGGCTGGTCTTGAACTCCCGACCTCATGTGATCCGCCCGCCTTGGCCTCCAAAGTGCTTGGATTACAGGCGTGAGCCACCACGCCCGGCCGTTGTTTCTGACTTAATAGGAGCGACTGAAATTATAAAATAATTTAATACAGAAATATTTCCTAATGTATTTCCTAACTCTAAGAGAGTGGCATAAGAGTCACAACATTAGTGTATACATGATACTTCTCTAGATGATATTATAAAATTAAGGGTATAAAAAGGTATATTTTTGAGTGCTATGTTTGCATTCTACAGAAAGAGTTGTGTATATTCCTCAGATGGAAAAGACATGTTGAGTTAGAAGACACCTTTTAAATTTTAATGTGAACAATAAACTGGAGAGCTTGTTAATACAGATTATTTTCTTACATGATCTGGAATAAAGTCTGATTGTCTGAATTTCTAACAAGCTCAACAGGCTCAACAGGAATGTCAATGTTTTTTTTTTTTTTTTTTTTTTGAGACAGAGTTTCGCTCTTGTTACCCAGGCTAGAGTGCAAAGGCACGATCTCGGCTCACCGCAACCTCCGCCTCCTGGGTTCAGGCAATTCTCCTGCCTCAGCCTCCTGAGTAGCTGGGATTACAGGCACGTGCCACCATGCCCAGCTAATTTTTTGTATTTTTAGTAGAGACGGGGTTTCACCGTGTTGACCAGGATGGTCTCGATCTCTTGACCTCGTGATCCACCCGCCTCGGCCTCCCAAAGTGCTGGGATTACAGGCTTGAGCCACCGTGCCCGGCCTGTTTTTTTTTTTATAAAGACGGGGTTTCACCATGTTGGTCAGGCTGGTCTTGAACTCCCGACCTCAGGTGATCCGCCCGCCTTGGCCTCCAAAGTGCTTGGATGACAGGCGTGAGCTACCACGCCCGGCCTCAAGTTTTAATGAGATTAGAAATCACCTGGTAATTTTGGCTCCATTCTATGCCATGTGATTCTGTAGATTTGGAAAGGGTCTGTGGATGAAGGTTTTAAGCAAGTTCCCTGTAAATCCTGATGTTCCTCCCCCTGAACTCATTATTAGCATTAAGTAGAGAAAGCAGGCATAGCACAGAGTCCCTAACACTCAGCACTCTTGTCACAACACAAATGCTTCAGGTACAAATAAAAACAACTCATCTCTGCCAGGCTCAGTGGCTTATGCCTGTAATCCCAGGGTTTTGAAAGGCTGAGGTGGGTAGATCATGTGAGGTTGGGAGTTCAAGACCAGGTTGACCAACATGGAGAAACCCTGTCTCTACTAAAAATACAAAAAAAATTAGCCAGGCATGGTTGTGCATGCCTGTAATCCCAGCTACTTGGGAGAGTGAAACAGAAAAATTGCTTGAACCCGAGAGACAGAGGTTGCAGTGAGATGAGATCGTGCCATTGCACTCCAGCCTGGATGACAAGAGTGAAACTCTGTCTCAAATACATACATGCATGCATGCATACAACCCATCTCCATCCTGAAGTTTCATATTCTTTGCTTTCTCCTTAAAGTTTACAGAGGAAACAGAAGGCAGTAATATCTGAATTAGCCTGCATTTAGCAACTACATGTACACAGGTACTAATGCAAGGTTTATTGCCAGGCGCGGTGGCTCACGCCTGTAATCCCAGCACTTTGGGAGGCCGAGGCGGGTGGATCACGAGGTCAAGAGATCGAGACCATCCTGGTCAACACGGTGAAACCCTGTCTCTACTAAAAATACAAAAAATTAGCTGGGCATGGTGGCGCGTGCCTGTAATCCCAGCTACTCAGGAGGCTGAGGCAGGAGAATTGCCTGAACCCAGGAGGTGGGGATTGTGGTGAGCCGAGATCGCGCCATTGCACTCCAGCCTGGGTAACAAGAGCGAAACTCCGTCTCAAAAAAAAAAAAAAAAGCTTATTAAGCAGTGCTCAAGAGGATGTTATAGAGCACTGTGTTGGGAATAACACATTATGTAATTTCATCATCAAAACACCCAGAAAGCTGGTATTAGGTGTTTAACAATCCTCAGGATTTAAAGAAAGGGCCCAGCCTTTCCCTTTCTTCTTCTGTTACTCTGTCATTGATTTTTTTTAATTGTATAGAATAAAAGCTAAATATAGACAGATGAGAGAAATACAGGAAAAAAGTTTAATGTACTTTAAAGAAGTTTTTACCGTGTTTATGTTTAACTTTATGTGACTTGTAGACAAACTACCAAATTTGAAGAAATAGAAAACAAGCTGTTAAATATTTCCACAAGCACTGGTTTTAATTAAAAAATTTAAAACTAAGATGTTAAAATACATATTTTCTTTTTACCATTTATCTGCTTTGGGGTTTTAGGAAACTGTGAGCACCAGCTCTAGAAAGTCACCAAGATTCATCAGACAAAATTCTGATCTCTTTTCTTTTCTTTTTTTGAGATGGAGTCTCACTCTGTCACCCAGGCTGGAGTGATTGCAATGACATGATCTTGGCTCACTGCAACCTCCACCTCCCAGGTTCAAGCAATTCTCTTGCCTCGGCCTTCTGAATAGCTGGAATTACAGGTATACACCACCACACCCTGGTAATTTTTGTATTTTTTTAGTAGATGGAGTTTTACCATGTTGGTAAATACTCTCAAACTCCTGACCTCTGAAAATGCTGGGTTTACAGGTGTGAGCCACCGCGCCTGGCCCAAAACTCTGATCTCTTCTAACAAATTGTGTGAGGCAAGATACCAGTGTGGGGCCAGACCTAAATAAAGCCTCCAAAAAGGTTAGATCTAAACAGAACTCAGACAGGAAGAGGACTCTATGTAGAATTCTGTTCTCTATGCGACTGGGTTCTGTTTTTTTCTAAGCTTACCAAGGGGAAACCTAAATCTCAGAGTTTGTGTAATTTTAATCTTTATAAGCCACTGTCCTCTCAATTTTATAACACATACTACTAAGCAATTTACAGAACTATTTTAAGGTTTTCTAGGGTAATTCTATTAGAATATATATATTCTTACCAAAGTAAATGAAATAGAATAGGCCATGTACAGTGGCACATACCTGTAATCCTAGCACTTTGGGAGGCTGAGGCATGAGGATCACAGGGTCAGGAGTTTGAGACCAGCATCACCAATATGGTAAAACCCCATCTCTACTAATAATACAGAAATTAGCCAAGAACGTGGCCCACACCTGTAGTCCCAGCTACTCGGGAGACTGAGGCAGAAGAATCTCTTGAACCTGGGAGGCAGAGATTACAGTGAGCCGAGATCACACCACTGCACCCCAGACTGGGTGACAAAGTCATACTCCATCTCAAAAAACAAAAACAGACCAAAAAAAAAAAAAAAAAGATCTTAATAAGAACACATGTACATACAAAAAAGAAACAACCAGACACTGAGTCCTAGTAAAAGTGGAGGGTGGGATGACAAAGAGAATTAGAATAAATATTATTTTGGTGTGAGGCTTAGTATCTTTGCAGCAATATAATCCAAACCCTCATGGCACAATTTTACCCATGTAACAAACCTGTACATGTATCCCTGAACCAAAAAAAAAAGAGGAAAAAAAAAAACAAACTTAGGGCGTGGTGGCTCACTCCTGTAATCCAAGCACTTTGGAGGCCAAGGCGGGAGGATCATCTGAGGTCGGGAGTTCAAGACCAGCCTGACCAACATGGTGAAACCCCGTCTTAAAAAAAAAAAAAACATAGCCGGGCACGGTGGCTCAAGCCTGCAATCCCAGCACTTTGGGAGGCCGAGGCGGGTGGATCACGAGGTCAAGAGATCGAGACCATCCTGGTCAACACGGTGAAACCCCGTCTCTACTAAAAATACAAAACATTAGCTGGGCATGGTGGCACGCGCCTGAAATCCCAGCTACTCAGGAAGTCGAGGCAGGAGAATTGCCTGAACCCAGGAGGCGAAGGTTGCGGTGAGCCGAGATCGCGCCATTGCACTCCAGCCTGGGTAACAAGAGTGAAACTCCGTCTCAAAAAAAAAAAAAAAGGCCAGGTGCGGTGGCTCAAGCCTGTAATCCCAGCACTTTGGGAGGCCGAGGCGGGTGGATCACGAGGTCAAGAGATCGAGACCATCCTGGTCAACATGGTGAAACCCCGTCTCTACTAAAGCTACAAAAAAAATTAGCTGGGCATGGTGGTGCGTGCCTGTAATCCCAGCTACTCAGGAGGCTGAGGCAGGAGAATTGCCTGAACCCAGGAGGCGGAGGCTGCGGTGAGCCGAGATCGCGCCATTGCACTCCAGCCTGGGTAACAAGAGCGAAACTCCGTCTCAAAAAAAAAAAAAAAAAAAAAAAACCACACACAAAAACTTAATGGGTGGTGTAGACTGCAATGTAGGTGGAGGGGCTATAGGTTTGTGCTACAGATAGTGGTCTTGGTGGGGCTGTACTCTGATTTCTTTATGCCCATGCAGGCAGATGAGGTTATCAACAGGTGGTTTAGAACCCTAGGTTAGTGGAGAAAGCAGGTTCCTGCTGCAGATTCAGTGTCTGGGGACGGGGATGTGCCAGGAGACTTGCAGACACAATGTGGGTTTTTGGCAAGAAACAGTAGAATAAAAAATGCTGTGGTGA